GGAGAGGGGGGATTTGCTACTTTGGTAACTGCATATCCTCCATATTATTTTACCCCCGCTTTAGGCTCTGGAAAGGACACTCCAGCTCCTCCATACAGAGCATATTACCATAGTCTCTCGAGACTGAAGGATGCCTAACCTAATGGGCTATCCAGTCATAGCTCCCAGTCTCTTGCAAAATCAGTAAGTGAAATCCAAGATATGGAAAATATCTTCCTAAACAGGTAAGAGCTACCCATCAGACACCACATGGGCAGGAATCCAAAATCCACAAGCAGTTCAACATGATAGTGTCAGGACGACCAAGAGCCCGTCCTGTATTCAGCAGGACTGAATCTGCTTTTTTAAAAAAATCCACAAAGAAGAATATCACACAAAGAGGCTGAATATAAAGCAAAATATACGTTAAATAAGAAACATACATGGTAGTGTCCAAAACAAGTCTACTCTGGGCGGCTCCCAAAATGCAGAATAAAAACAATAAATATGTTTACAACATTTACATTTTTAAAAAGTAGACAAAGATAGAGAAAAAGAGAAAGTTACGTAGTGCCCGGAGGGAAGGCCTGTCTATCTAACCAGGTCTTGAGTTGCTTTTTGAAAATGCCCAGCGAGGGGGACTGATGAATCTTGAGGGGGGGGAGCGTGTTCCAGAGCCTGGGAGCCCCGTGTCTTCTTTTTTCTTTAAGGCTCTCCCTCGGCGTTAGCATCCTCAGTCGCCCCTCCTGGCTAGATCGGGTGATACGATTAGATCCAGGTGGGAGGAGGCATTCCGCTTAAGCTTGTAAGTCCACATTCTTCCGACTTCATATTTATCTTACCTTACAAGATCAGCTGAACAATGACAAGTGTGAAGTAAGCTAGTTTTCCACATTCCATGTGTTTGCTGACAATCTATATTTCTCATTTCTCATGACTCGACTACAATGTTTCTTCATTTGTCACCTTTTCAGTCCAAGAAAATCTTAGCAGTCTCCATTAAATCCTATTTTAAATACTTCTCTCTATATATTTTTTCAGCCAGTGTGTAATCCATCTGTTTTATGTAAAGGGGACCTGTAAGAACATTAACTCTGGTGGTGAAAATAATCCAGAGATGAACGTTATTTCACTGCAAAACCAACCTGACTTGGGATAGCTGACAGTAACCACGTCATCATCAAGGAGCTGGAACTGATTTTCCGCATACCTCACTGATTCCTCTGAATGGTAAAGCTTGGAGAAAAGGATCCTCCTGTAGCTGAAATAAGTCCTTTTGGCCATAGAAAACCTGTAAATCCATCAGAAAGAAAGAAGAAAGGAGGGAGACTCTACGATTTAGCATTTTAGGGCTTTCTTAAATGGAAAAAAGTTTGAGACTCATAGAATTCATAAGAGAGTAGCGAAAACATAAAATATTATGCCTCAAAAGAGTTTTAGAACTGGGATGATAGCAGCCTGGATTTAGTGCAGTTGTTTGAGCAGAAAGGTCAGTATGTGAAACAGGTGCAGATGGCAAGTAGAGCTAGCATTAAGAATGTGTATTTCTGTGCAGAAGAACAGTCTCCAGAGACCCACACTTGGAAGAAAGCACATATTCATAGGTACACATAGTAGGAGGAGAGCACAGGCCCTCCACCTCTAAGAAAGAGGAAGGCAGGAGGAGAGTAGTCTGGGGTAACCTGAAACATCATCTAGGGGTAGCATTCTACATGTCCTAATGGACATGTCATCACTGAATGGGGGTATGATTCTAATTACCCCAAGAAAACATTTTAATGTCATTATCCCAAACAATAACTCAGGTTTCAAATATGAGTTCATTTTTGCTTTACAAAAATAAAGTAATTTATTGGCAAGTAACAGTACTGTTTCCAAATTACCATTCCCGCACTCTGAAGTTCTTATGAGGAACCAAACAGCCACTTAATATATATATATATATAACATGGGGGTTCGATTCTGTATAGAATCTGTGGGCAGAGATGTAGCAAAGTAACTTTTCTTCCTTTCATTTCTCTTACAGACTTCAGCCCACAGTACAATCTCTACAGGGAGTGGGGGGGGGAGTGGCAAAATGGTGCCACTGCGCATAGTCACCAGATAAAACTATTAATCTGAATTTAATTTGACTGTAATTGACTTCTTCTATCTGGTAAACAGGGATGTGGTGGTGCTGTGGGTTGAACTGCAGAGGCATTTGTGCCACAAGGTCAGAAGACCAGCCATAGTAACAATCGAATCCACGTGATGGAGTGAGCTCCCGTTGCTTCTCCCTGCTCCTGCCAACCTAGCAGTTCGAAAGCATGCAAATGCAAGTAGATAACTAGGTACCACCTCAGTGGAAAGGTAACGGCATTCCGTGTCTAGTCACGCTGGCCACGTGACCACGGGAATTGGCTACAGACATAATGCTGGCTCTACGGCTTAGGAATAGCGATGAGCACCGCACCCTAGAGTCGGACATGACTGGACTAAATGTCAGGGGAAACATTTACCTTTACTTTATCTGGTAAATAAAGTAAATTATTCCCCCAACCTTCTACCAGTGGTTGCTGTGTCTCTGTTTTGTTCCTCCCACCACCACCAGCCCCATAACCAAAAGGAGACTTATTGTTTTGGAAGTAGGCAATGTGTTGGCGTGTGATGGTCACAGAGCAATTAGCAAAGCTTTTGTCTGAAGACAGGGGCAGAAGCACCCACCATCCAGACGATGCTTCCAACCTGAGTCTGAACTTACCTCACACAAAGACCCACCACAGTCTGTCATCTGCCATGAATTTTTGGGACACATATCTACATTTTTCTGCACTATCCATGAAGTTATACGGCTTAGCCTGAAGAAATGACATCTTCTCCATGAAAACTAACAATCTGTTGGATTTCTTAGTGGTCCAATAAAAGGCATCAGCCTGCTAACGGTAAGAAGGGGGAGAAGGGTGGGTGACTGGACAGCCGTTGCCGCCCCAGAGCAAGACTTCGTACATAGAGATAGCACAGAAAGATTGGGAGCGGGCTCTCGTCTTGTGGGATTCAAATTACTCTGTGCAGACTATTTCACAGAACCAAGCAGGTGGCTGAGAAAACTGGGGGAGCCTTTGGCCACCATTAACCCATTGACAGGGTGTCTGCCAAAAAGAAATGCATGCTTTCGCTAAAGGAGGATCCATTTCATTGTGCAGAACTGGAACTAAAAACAAGGGGGAAGGGAATGGCAACTGGAAACACTCACTCTCAAAATAGATGCCAGACACTCCTCCTCTTTGCCCCCCTCCCCAAAGGTTTCCTACTTACCTTAAAGTTCAACTTCTGTGGAGAGAATTTGATGAAATTCTAGCTTTGCAGTTAGAAGACGACACAAATACGTTGTCTCTCGTTCAAAGGTTCAGTCCTTTTGGGCTGCTTTGTCAACAGAATCCACCTCTAAATGAAACCTCCCTCTCACTTTCCCGGGAACTGCCTCTGATCTTTGACTCCTGTATCTTCCTTCTCCCTGCTCTCTGCCAGAAGCTATTGGGATAATCAGGGAGAACTGCAAAGGCTATGAAAACAAGGCAGCCCTGGCCCACAGGGTCACTCACTAGCTACCGTGACTTGACACAAAAAGAACGGTAAAGGGAGGGAGAGAGAAAACTCGGGCACTACCGGTTGTTATGTTTAAAAAGTTCTTCATTTAATGTTCAAAGAATTTAGGTAGAGGGAGATCAAACTCAGCTAACCTCTCTATAAAAGTAATGGAGAAGGTCCTAGCTTCCCTTTTAAAGCTTTTTTAAAAATATATAATATTTTATAGATGGTATATAACACCCACAAAATTAACCAAAATGGATGTTAAAATTCCAAATCTCTGTTGGAGATGTAAACAAAAAGAAGGTTCTTTTTACCTTCTGCAGTGGATGGTCCGGCCCCAAGGGCTGGACCCTCGTTAATTCCAGATTTGAATACGAATAGCCCCATCTCTATTCCCAAGCCCTGAGTCTGGGCCCACTTGCCCTGCCCCCCCCCCCCCCC